AGTCTTCCCCCACATGCGTCGTGGGGAAATTCCGCATGTATGTCGCTGTCTGGACCCCCTACGGCATAATCCGAACGAAACGAAACCCAGAAACAGACACATACATTCTCTTCAATCCTTGGTGTGAAGGTAAGGGGATGGGCATTTAGTTTTCTTATTAAAAATTTACATATGTCCAATGCATCTCTTTTTGGAGGTGTAGGAGGGTTATTCTAGAGGACATGTTATTTTCCTACATACAATGTTTTTCATGATTAAAAGAAAGACACAAAATTAGTCCTTAGTGTATACGAGGATATACGTGAAGTACACATAGTTACTGTTGCATTTACTCCAGGAATTCATTGATGATTGCCAAAAGTTGCACAGTTAGTTAATTGTGGAGCTGTATGTTGATGGTATAGCCTCTGTATGCTATACTAATTAGGATCCATGGTTCTGACCTCAGAAAAATAGAATAAAGTCAACTCTGTCTGTAGTGGAACTGGCTTCTCTATCTCCCTAATCCAAGAACAGAACACCTGAATGTCTAAAGGACCCCACAAACTTATTTATATACATAGTGGGTACAAATTTCACAAACCATAACTCTGGACGTGCAAACATGTAACTGTATTTTAATATAATATAACTTAATTTCTAGTGCTGTTTTGAATCTCCCTTTCCGTCTGCTGCAGAAATTTAATCTACTTACGTTCAGATAAACTCAGTCAAACTCAAGATTTCTCTGTTAATTCTGTTAAACAGCTCAGTTGCACACAGGATTTTCTCCCCGTTCCCATCTCTGCCCTTCCATACCTCCCCCAGCTCTCATACTTGGTATGAGGCTGATTTTAAGTTCCAGAAGCAGATGCAGCATTGATGGGAGAGAGTCCACTTTTAGATCTTAGGAAATAAGGTAATGAGATTTATAAAATCCGAGACAGGGACAGAAGGCTTCTCATGTCATCCTACCCCATAAGCATGTCTCTCTAATATCCTCCAAAGTGAGTCTATATTATTGCTGATTTTGAATGACCCTTGTTTATGAGAATTGCATTTGGATCAGGACTGATCTGAACTACATGTAGTTAATAAGTGGACAGCAATGTTTTCTACTCATATAGAACATAACCTGGATCCTACAGACCTTTCCTTTGAGTTGTCAGTTCCAGTAGTGTTGGCAGATGGCACCGAGCTAACCCTATACTCCCCACCCACCCTTCCTCATCATCTCGTACCCAGCACTCCTGTCTATGAGACAGATGTTCCAGGTTGATGGTAACAGGAGAGGATATCAGGGAAATGTGCAGTTCAAAGGTGGACTCCTGTTTACAGTGATTGCATCAACCAGAGGCGAGGCATTTTGCAACTGGTTGGTGAGGTGCTGTTTACAGAGATGGCAAAGACTGAGAAGAGCAGAGGTGTAGAGATGAACTAAGATTACGAAAATGTTAAGTTGGAGACAACTATTGCTATCCAAGCAGAAATGACAGGTAGGTATATGAACTAGGAGAGGAGCATCAGAGAAGTAAATTTGGCAGAAAATATAGATAAAGGAGGAAATAGGATACAGTATCAACCCCTCAGGAGCACCCTTGAGGAGTCCAGTAGGGAAAGAATTGGCACAAGAGACTGAGATGGAAAAATATGTAGGAGGTAGCCTATTCTAAGAAAATCATATTTTGGGGCCAGCCTCGTGGCTCACTCGGGAGAGTGCAGCGCTGGTAGTTCCAAGGCCACTGGTTCGGATCCTATATAGGGATGGCCGGTGCGCTCACTGGCTGGGCATGGTGCGGGCCACACTGTGCCGAGGGTTGCAATCCCCTTACTGGTCAAACAAAACAAAGCAAACAAACAAACAAACAAAAAAAGAAAATCATNCATCAGAGAAGTAAATTTGGCAGAAAATATAGATAAAGGAGGAAATAGGATACAGTATCAACCCCTCAGGAGCACCCTTGAGGAGTCCAGTAGGGAAAGAATTGGCACAAGAGACTGAGATGGAAAAATATGTAGGAGGTAGCCTATTCTAAGAAAATCATATTTTGGGGCCAGCCTCGTGGCTCACTCGGGAGAGTGCAGCGCTGGTAGTTCCAAGGCCACTGGTTCGGATCCTATATAGGGATGGCCGGTGCGCTCACTGGCTGGGCATGGTGCGGGCCACACTGTGCCGAGGGTTGCAATCCCCTTACTGGTCAAACAAAACAAAGCAAACAAACAAACAAACAAAAAAAGAAAATCATATTTTAAAAATCCATACTGATAAAATAAATAAATCAGGAGTTTGTTATTGACTTCCTTTGCATTAGAAAAAGAAAATTACCGTCTTCATATAACTCTCCAGCACCCTAAGGTATTTAAAGAATGATATGGTTTGCTGCAAACTTTGGTTTGCTTGCAGCTTTTCTGAGTTACATCATCTGTGTAAAATGGGGTAGTAGGGCACATGTCTACATGCATTTCATCTTATGTGGCCACTCCTCTTGAGGTGAAAAATGTTAGTCATGTCACCTGACATGTTGAGTTTATAGGAGAACCATTTGGAAGGTGGACAGTCTAACAACCTTCGACGACCTAACTGCTGCCTTGGTCTTCAGCTGTAAGGATGGCGAGCAGCTTCTGGTGCCTCTGTGCAGAAGGAGCTGCTGCAGTCATCTAGAGATAACACGGCCCTGCCCTAGATGCTGGGCTACAACGCAGGGACCTCTAGGTATTGCTTCAGCTGTAAGGATGGCGAGCAGCTTCTGGTGCCTCTGTGCAGAAGGAGCTGCTGCAGTCATGTAGAGATAACACGGCCCTGCCCTAGATGCTGGGCTACAACGCAGGGACCTCTAGGTATTGCTCAGTGCGTAGAAAGGATGAGACGAGGGTGAGACTAAAACCAGAGGAACGAGCTAGGAAGCGGTGGTCCAGGAGAAAGCTGGTAACAGACTGCGGCTGTGGAGATGGGAAGGAGCTGGACTGGAGATCTATTTTGGATTTAAAACAGAAATTGCAGCAGGATTGAAGATGAGAGGTAGAGAGACAGGAGTCAAGAATATCTGTAGATGTCCGGCTTGACCAGCTGGGTTGATGGTGGTGCTGGGAAGACTCAGGGAGGTGGAGGGAAGATCTAGGGGTGGAACCAAGAGTTACATTTAGAAATGTTAATTTGGTGGTATCGGTGAGACACGCAGGTAAGAATGTCAGGTAGGCACTTGAATAAGTGACTCGAAAGCTCAAGGACGAAGACTGAGCTAGATATGTAAGTACGTACACTACCAGGGCAAGAGGAGCCACAGTGAATCAGGATCATCAACAAGTAGAGTCCAGAGAAAGGAGAAGTCAACGGAGGGGACTGAGAAGGAGCAGTCAGTGGAGGACAAGGAAATAGAAAGATCTGGAGCCAGATGTGTCACCTGATTCAGAGAGACAGCGATTACCTCTAGGCTGCTGCTCACAGTGAAGAGGATATGGGAAGGAAGTGGTCAGACGCTGGAGATATGGGAGCCGGTCTTGAAAAGGACAGACTCACAGAGCAGTGGGGATAGAAGCAGGCGAGCTGGCCCGGGCTGCGGCTGAGTGGGAGGGAGGAAGTGGGGACGGCCGGTGGCCGCCTTCCTCGGGAGCTCCTTGGAACCCAGTGCTGATGAGAAGGTCAGAGGGGACGTTTTCAAAAACAGGAGAGTGGGCGTGGCTCTGTGGTGACAGTGAGGAGGTGGGAAGGAGAGTGTGTCTGCCTGAGTGGGCAGTGGCTCCCAGCCCGGGCACCTGGGAGCCTCCAGAATGATGCCTCAGCCCCCACAAGATGCCCTCGTGTCACTGGTGTGGAGCGCAGCTGGCTCCGGGGCTTTTATAAAGCTCTGCAGGCAGTTCCTGAAGCCGAGGTTGAGAAGCACTGGCTTTGGGAGTGCGGTCCTGGAGAGGCTGGGATCCCAGGAACAGGCGCAGGTCGTGGCAGGTGAGGCTGGTCACCCTGCACTGAGCCCGCAGCCAGTGGAAGGGGGCGCGGATTTTCTAGATTCAGTCGAAGGAGGATGAAGCCATTGTCATTTTGTGATTCTTTCTAACTCAGTGAAGGGCAAGGCCGAGCCGTCTGTTGGGAATAAGCAGCAGGGAGGGGAACGGGAGACTTGACAGAGGAGACATGAGATAGTCACAGGGGAGGGAAGGAGAGCTTATCACAGAAACTCGGCAGGTGGGTCCCCCCTGCTCTCCAGACACGGGACACTGCCACAGTCCCCTTCATTCCTTAGCCTGGGCAAGTCCAAACGTTTCTGCAAATTCCTTGGGGATTTCTGTCCTCTGCCACCGCTGCCTAGAGGAATCCTATTTTCCCTGCGCCACCACAAGTGGGAAACTTGACCCCTCTTCAATTTCAAGTTGGCAACAACAAAAATAGTCACTATTTTGAAAGTCTAGACATGGAACTGCCATTTGGTGGGGAGGGTGAGAGGAGGAAGGATTTACTCAGCCGCATCAGACTTAGGACAGGGCTGGCTGGTGGGCTCCGTTGGTTAGAGTGTGGTGCTATCACACTAAGTGCAAGGGTTCAGATACCCACACCAGCCAAACACCAAAAAATAAATTTAAAGAAACTGAGAGCACATCAGGATCCTCTGGAGGGCTTGCCGAACCACAGACTTCTGCTCAGCATCCTCAGATTGAGTGGGTCTGGGCTTGGGCTGAGAATTGCATTTCTGACCAGCTCCCAGAGGAGGCTGGTGCTGCTGGCCCAGGACCACACTTAGAAAACCACTGGTTTGCACGATAATCACAGAACACTCATTACAAAACACAAGAGAATACTTCACTCTTAAACTTTCACTGGCTCTGCCTGATCTTCATCTCAGTCTTCCCGCATGTAACCCCCTCTTCTCCTCCTTGGTCTTTCTGTCCTTCTAACCCTTCTCTCCCATCTTCTCCCAGCAGCAAGTTCTCTCTCTTCCCTCATGCAGAGGGGTTCAGTGAACTTTTTATTTTGTTGCTGGGCTCCTCCAACAACCATCCTTTTGGGGACTGCAATTTTTTAAAGACCATTTCCTCCAGAAAATTCTGGTGCCAACTAAAGATAATACCGTTTTACCTGCTTCTCTTAACACACACTGAGATCTCCCAGAGGATGTTCATAAAACGGGAGAAAGAGGTCATCTCCTTATTTTGCTCAT